GGGGAGGGGATGAGATCTCGCATAACGGAGTATGCGAAATAGGAATGTTTGAGCACAGCGCTCCTGTGGAACGCGACACGCGGGGCTGGTGCTCTCTGCCGTGGGTGTGCCTTCGCCGTTGTCACTCGGCGCTCCCCAGCGGTGTGTCCCGCCGTGCCGGGGCCTGGCATCCGCACGCTTGGGGTGTCGCACGGCTGCGTTTCTCCAGGGATCACTTGGTGTTCTGTGACGGATTTTGCACCTGTAGAAACAAAACTATGGCCATTTATGCCAGATCTTTCCTCTACCCTACGGCTGCAGTTGATAGCTGGCCGTGCCGAGTTCCGAGAAGAAGGCAAGGTCCCGCACAGTCTGTGTGGAACGAGCGGCCTGCGAGTGCCTGCCTGCCTTGGTCAGAGTGCCACGGGTCCCACACATTTGCAAGTTATTTTGTGTAGGTTTAGTACACCCAGAACACGCTGGAGTGGTTTTGCAGCCAATACAGGCCATTCTAGACATGCCTGTCAGTGCTTCCAAGCCATTTTGTGCTTGTATCAATTTTGTGTTTTAAACAATAATGATCATAATGATGCTGGGCACAATAGCTCATGTATTAAACTCATTTTTTCTAATACACATTTTAGTTTTTATCAGTCACTAGTAAGAGAGATCCATAATTCTTATGTTAATGGGTTTTCTTCCTTTTGCAAGTTATGACACACCAGTAATATACTCTGAAAATAAAAAATCATGTCTGCATTTTTCAGTGTTAAATGTACAAGCAGAGTTTTCAGAGTAATTTCATTTTCAGTACATTTTCAACTGTAATGCAAAGTAAGTTTCCTTGTTCATCACAAGGACTGGGTTAGCTGACATGAATGAGAAGCCCATTCTCCAGTTAACATACATTAATTTCTCACTTCATGTCTATCAACTATGATTCCCCACAGGAAAAGAAGATTCGTGTATGTGTAGCCTAATCACCAGAGTATTTTTATCAATTTAAAATAGAAACTGGAAATTTAATATCTCTTTATCTCTCTTAGACTATGTTACAGTTTGCAAGGTGCTGTGATACATGTATTAATTCTGGTCTGCACATTACTTTAAACACTGAGTTCACATATGTTACAATGTAATGAATCCATAGTGATGCAACATATTATACTGACAAATGTGCTGTATACTGTCAGGCAATAGAAAACCAGCTGAAGATCTGTGGCTATAAGAACAATGTGGATGTTGTAGCACTGTATCTGGCTAGACAGTAAGTAAAATGTTTATTGTTTTGACTTTTAGTAAAAGTAGAGCATGCAGTAAATGGTAATCTTTCATAGTGCTTTCTGTATCAGGAACTCCCTGAACATCATTTATGTGTGAAATACCAGTAAATCATATTGTTACATAGTCCATACATGTTGTGAATGAAGAAATGGTGAAGGTGCACCAACACACAGCAGCACTGTGCTCACAACTAACAGCCTCATCTCTAGATATACAATCTCTCTCCAGCAACCTAGAGTTGCTTGAGGGTCTGTGAGTTCACAGAGTTGTACATGAATTTCTGCCATGGGGAGCAGAGGAATGAGACTTGATGGGCTGATCTCTGCCTGTTCTAACAGGCTTGTAAGGCTGGGTGGAAGGAATAACAGGAAGGCAAATGAAAGAACATGGGACCTGCCCAGTCTAAGAACTGCTGAATTTCTGACCTCCCTGAAGAAATGCGTTACTGCAATGGCAAAACTCAGTGGTACTACCTTTCAAATTACCTGCATCTGTACTGTTAAGAGCTGAAGGGAGGGCAGGGCAACATGAAGTGAACACAAGCACAAGAACACTTATTTTGGTCAGGCAGTACTGATGAGAGAGCTGATCTCCTCTGAGACCTTTATGAAACAGCTTGAGATGTAGGGCAGATGAGAAGACGACGTGCTAAGAAGTAAAGGAAGGCAAAGCTTTCATGAACCTGTGGGTGATCTAGGCTGATATAGGTGTATGTTGTAGTATGAACATGCTGAGAGGCTGCCATAGAGGGATGGATACATGACAGGACATACTTCAAAGTTTTGGGAAAGCGTACTTTGAATTTCTGGCCAGGGCACAATTCCAAGTGTTGCATACCTGTCTGCAGCCTCACAACTGCATCCACTGCTCACAGTGTTGATAGCATACAGGAAAACTAATGTAGTTTAATAATTCAGGGACAAGGTTTTCAAGGTCTCCTGGTCCAATGAGTGAAAAAAAATTAAAGAGGTGTTAAGGGATTAAGGGATTTCAGTGTGGTCTAGTCTGTTTTTAGTGGAAATCATATGGTCTTGAAAATCTAAATGTGCTCACTGATATGTTTAAATTCCTTATCACATCTCCTGATTTACATTGAGAAAGCATCTGATGCTTTGTGAGATAAAACATGTAGTTACTGCCAAATTTTTTCAAACGTGCATTTTGGAAAGAAAAAAAAAGGTAAAATTTAAGGGAGAAGTTTAAATAATGAGAAAATTACAAGGTGCATATATACATATTTTCTAAACAATACAATTATTATACCACACATGTAAAGAATTAAGACTGTGTATACAGTCTTAATTGGTGTATTTTCTGGTTTTAAATGCTTAAATGTGTGCTCTCACTGGCTTTCAAGTATTTTTTTTTTTTTTTGGTATAGAATAAAAAGAAATGTTCACATGGCAGATACAGAAGTGATCTGTCTTCCCATGAAACCATTTTGGTAAAGATGGTTCAAGAAGGATTCTTTCATAATTGGGTAGAAGTGAATTCCTTTTATTCTGTATCAGTCTATATAAACTTGAACCCCAGCCAAGCTCTGTATCAGATCATGCCTCCTTTACTGTTGTTTGACATATTTTTCTGCTAGCTGAAATAAGAAAATGGAAAAAAAAGAACCAAAGTCAATCAAATAAGAGGGAATGAGTTAATATTTTTAAACCACTATTAAAGGGACATGTAACAATGTATTTTGGACACTGAAAGCTGTCATCCCAGGAAAACTGATTAACTTAGCAGTAGGTAGAAAAGGAGTGCTGCAGGCCAAAAAGGATCAGTTTATAAAAGATGTACAAAGTCTGGAAGGCATCTAGAAAAGGACAGGCTCTTTTAAAATGTTAGAGGAATTAAGCTCTACCTGGGGCAAATTAAATGCCTTAATATGAAAAAAAAAAAAAAAAAACCAACAAAAAAACCAAAACCAAAAATGCAACAGACTGAGGTTTGGAGATAGTCAAGATTAGCCTATTACTAGAGAGGGAATAAAGCAAATTAAATGTAAAACTGCAAACTAGTTATAGAGTAGCAGTGACAAGAATATAAGAAATTTTGGCTTTGCTACCTGAAATGTAGTTCAGTGATGCACAGGAGAATTTGATAGGAACTTAGTAGGAGCTCTTTATGTCCTGTCAACAGCCATCTGCTTGTCCCTGTTACTTGCAGCAATGTCTTTTTTTGTTACTTGTGACAGTAGATGCATTAAGTATGTATTTGCAGGGTTAGTTTTTATGGCTTATCTGAGGAAGCCAAATAAACAGTTTACAGTAACAACATGAGAGGATAATCTGATTTTCAGTAATATAAGGGACTAAAAGTACACCACCTCAACTTTGTAGGGTTTGCTTTTGACAGACTTTTCATTTATAAAAGCAAGATGAGAAAAGGCATCCACCCTCCCTTTGTCTGTACCTGGAGGGTGTGTTGGAAAAAAAACAACCCAACAAATAAAAAGTCAACCTGGAAAGATAGAGACCAGACTTCACAGTTGGAAAACAAACACACCTTTAGCTTGATGATATGAGGTTATTTTTTTTTCAGTCCTGTTACTTTCTGAAACACTGGCCTTCATCTTGCAACACATTAAAATCCACAAGGAAATTTTTATTAAGGTGATTCAAAATTGTCAGGTAAAAGTCATCTATAATTTTTCTAGTGGAAATTAAGAACATTTATTTATAGCAATGAAAATAAAGAAGAGCAATTAGTTAAAATCACTTGGCAGCTCACTAATATTTTCTGGTCAGTAGGTAATTTTTTATTTATGGTACACTAGCAAGCTCAAAGTGCTAGATACACAATTACACAAATACACAATAAACATAAACCATACTAGCACGTGGGAGATCATTTCAGTCTCAGTGGATGTACTAATGTCTGTGAGAATAGGGCATGAGTGGAAAAAAGGCAAAATATTTCACAATATACACTAATATGAGAAATAATAAAAAATGCACATTGACGTGCTTGATGTCTGTCCTCTGTTGGCTTCTCTGGCACTGTGGATGGACATCCGTGCTGCATCTTCAAAGCAGTTTTCCTTCTAGCTTCATGTCCCCAGGGTGTCAAACTTCTCCTTCTGTGTTCTGAACAGGGTTTCTACAAACTGCAAAGTACATGTGATTCAGACTCATAACTCAGGCTGTTATGGAAAAGCAATTAATGTATCGCTTATTTTGTTCCTGTTTCTTTACCACCTGCTGCCTTGCTATGTTTGCAGGTGTGCAGAGTGCTTACACTGTCTCTGCCATCTTTTCTTTGTGTCTTTCTCTTCTATAAACTATAAGGAAGTGTGCCTTTCTAGTTCTTGTGTAACATTATTTCTGGAAAAATTAAATATTTATAAAATTAGTAAGCACTATTAATGTTAAGAAATTTGTTACTCTCTTTTTTTCGTTCACCAGAGGACTAAGAAGTATCCCAAGTCTAGCACAGTTTCGCAGATTAAGGTATTTGTGGATTAACAACAATAAGGTAATAAGATATTCCTCTGAAGAGCAGAACAATGCATCTGTACTCCCTGATTATTATTTTTTAGTTTTTTCTAACATAAAGTATTATATAATTGTCAAACTAATAAATTACTTTTAATTTCCAGGCTAACTTAACTGTCAGATATAACAGATTTGGAGAAAACTTTTTTTTTCTTTTACATTATAAAGTATAAGCTAATCTGTTTTCCTTTAGATTCACATCAGATTAATAAATTTTGTAAATTTAAGAAGCTGAGGTTTTTGCTAATTCCTGAGTTCCCAGTGTAGCTAGAGTGGGCAGTTTTAGGAACAGACTGAGGGGTGATATGGCTGTAGGACAGGAGTGGATTGCAGGAAGTGCATGGCTCTTCATTTGTATTCTTGCAGACATGCATAGTTTATTTTCTGGCAGACTGGTGGTCGAGGTGAGGCTCCTTTTTGATGTCATGCACACAAGAGTGACATAAAACTCTGTGAAATGAGCTTCTCCCTGTGCATAGGTACAGTAGTTTACATGACTCTCATAGTGAGCCCAAATTCTTAAATCTCCAGAACTGCTTCCTCAGGTAAGTAAGTAGATCTGTGAGCAGCAGAAAAAATAAATTTACATTCCATGTCACTTCAGAGCACATGTATATCTTCTGCCCCAGGCTAGCATAAGTAATATGGCATCTTATGTCCAATTCATCAGAAGATCTGTACTTTACTAGCTATTTTTGAAAAAAGCCAATGTATAGATATATTAAAATGTTGAACTAAAATCACAGGTATAATAAGGCTTTTCCTTATATAGCTAAAGGACACTAAAGAAAATGAAGAAATTGCCTTGACTAAGCAGAACTGATCATGCTGATCAAAAATAAATAAATAAATTGGAATTTTGCACAATTCTCACTTTCCTACCTAAGCAGTAACAAAGAACATTCTTCTGTTTTCTATATAACTTGTGTGGAGAAGTCACTCAGTGGCCTTTCATAGGAAAAGTCTCATTTAAATGCCTGAATAGGAGGAGCATATTTTTCTGTACTCAATAATTTTATCATAAAAAAGCAAACTTTGGATGATTCTAAAAACAAAACTTGCCAAATATAGGGAAGACCACTGTACAAAGGAGTGGAAAAGTTGACTTATGCTTTTCCATCCAGCTTTCAGATACTGTTAATGCACAGAGCAAAGCACATTTATTTCAGAGTTAGTGGCAAAATGAAAGGACTGAAATAATTCCTTTCCTAACAAATTATGTTTTATCACAGAATTCAAAAAGTCAGGAATAAAATTCTGTTTGCTGTTCTTGCATTTAAACTGTAGGATGGAAACTTCAGCACTATTAGTACTCCCAGTTCTCAGTGTTTATAAAGGTTGGCTTGCTATCCCACTGTGGATACTTTACCTTGCACTGGAGTCAAAAGTTTATTGGAATTGAGCTTCTCCAAACAAGGGGGTGTGATTCTGTAGGGACTGAAGATAACTCTTTATTGGGAATACACCCATACACTGAAGACAACTCTTTATTGGGAATACACCCATACACATACTGACTTTTTTTCTGTAACTCTAATTGATTCTCTAAAAATGATTAGGTGGTATTTCTGGTAAATTAGAACAAATTTGTGCTCTTTGAACCTGCTGGTGAAAAAAAAAAACTTAAAAAGAAGATGCTGGGTTTATTCCAATTATATATTTCAGGAATATTCTTAAATCAACATAGAATTATTATGCTCTACAAGGATCTTTTCACAATAAAAATGGTTTCAAATATGAATAGAAGGAAGAGAAAACGTGGAGACCAGTCATTCAAGGAAATCTGTTTCCAAATACAAACATTAAATCTGTACTTAAAAAAATTAGCTAAGGGTGTACTGTTTAATTTGTAATTAGTATTTTCAATGAAGGTTCAGTTGTCAAGAGAATCCTTAAACCAAGAGTCTTAAACAGAAATATAAGAAACTACCTGTGGTTAAACACTTTTCAAGACGCTACATTTATAATTCTCCAACACTACATTCACTGTGACATATAACAATTTGTTTAACTCTAATTTCAGATCCAAGATTTAACCTTCTTGACCAAAAACTATTACTTGACTGAACTCTATCTCAACAATAATGAGCTGACAGATATATCAGGTACCAATCTTCCCTTTTTAGGTTGTTGAGGAGAGTGCTGTACTTTCTTTTTTCTGTATTGAAAATATAATTTGAATGTATTTGCATTCAAATTTATAAAACTGGATGACAGCAAGTAACTAATATGTTGAACACTCCTATGTCTTCATAATTAATACATGTTAATTATTAGATATTTAATTTTTTCTGTATACTTGGGTGACATTAAGGTGATGTGTTTATTCTGGTCTAAGGGATGAAATGTCATTTTCTTTAGGTCAGGCAAATGTGAAATATTTTTGATCTTACATGACCATATTTAATATTGAGAATTTATAACCAGAATATTTTTGCAAAGTTACTGCCAACCTTGGTTTAGTTTAAAAATGCATCTGTCTTTTACTTCTATTTTAGTTTTGCTTGCCCTTGTAGATTAAAATGGCTTTACCCGACTTGTGAATTTGTGAATGAACAGGCCAAAGCATAATGCACTTCTAAATATTTTAGACATTTTAAATGTGGGGTTTTTTTCTGTCCCTGTAAAATGCTGGAATGAGAAATGGTGTTTAGTTTCTGTGAGATTTCAAACAAACTTTATATTTGAAAGACATTAGCATGGATACAAGAGACAATACAGATGATAAAAAAATATGGGTAAGCAGAAGGGTATTATTACTAGAGAAATGTGGATAAAATACTGTATATAATTTGAAAAATGAGATGTCTAATCTTGATGTGGTGTGAACACAGTTTGGGTCAAAACAAGATTTTGTAATAGCTTTTTAATACATCAGTAATTACTTGAAACAGAAATATTTTCTAAGGAATTCACTATTTATTATTTGTGAGGCAAAGGTAGTATTAGGGATATACTATTGTTTGTGAGGCAAAGGTAATATTAGGTCAAGGTAAAAGGAAGTGAATTAACCAAGATTACAGGGATAGAGGAGGAATGAAGAGAGGTTGCAGTTGAGGCAGATTTGTTAATGCAAGGGTGATGTGGACAAATGGAAAAAATTGGAATGTAAAAAAGATAGGCATGTGCTTAAAGGATGTGACTAGAAATCAGGAAGGTGAAAAGGATATTGAAATATCTTTAATTTATAGTTTTAATTAATATCTCATACAACATGTTACAAAAACACAGGCATATATAGAGAACTAAAATACCAAAAGTATACAGCATAGCAAAATAATGTTCTAATAAAGGCAGCTATGATGAGAGCGATTAATTGTTTTTCATTTTATTTCAGGTGCTCTGAAACACTTATGTTCATTACAGATTCTGTTTCTTCACAACAATGAGTTAAGAAAACTTGGCAAAACAGTGAAGGAATTGAAAGAAATGATAAGCTTGCAAACTCTAAGTAATACCTTGTTTTTATTTTGCAGAACAGCAAGTAGTAGATTTTAGTTTCTCATCACATTTCTTGTCTATTTCCACATCATTTGCCAATAGCTTTTGAATCTAATTAGCCATTTCAGCCAAATTTGACAGAAGAAAGAGATCTCTAAGACATGCAAATTCCACGAAGAGTACCTCAACTGAGGAGAAACTGCTGAGTTCAGAAGTTAACTTTTTGGCTGCTGGCTGCCAGTAGCTTGGATGAGTAGCTTGGAAAGTATCTAAGCAGTTTACAGCTGCCTCTTTGTAATAGAACACAGGAGTACGGTGAGATTATCACAGAGGTGAAAAGAGTTGAAAAATGGGTGTCATTTCTGTTGAGAGTGTGAGTGATAGGTTGTAGAACCCAAATTCCTGCCTCATTAATTCTCTTGCTTATAGAACTTCCTTTCTGCATCTTTTTGGCAGACTGTGGATTTCTAGAGTCTAAGAATAAATGTGCTTTAGGTATTTCTTGTAACAATGTCTGTTAAGGAGCATACTTTCTGATACACTGGCTGAAAATTAAAATAGCACCATGTCTAAAATTTCAAATGAAGTTATACAAGACAGTGTTGGCACCACCAAATTATAATGTAAGAAGTAGCCTCCAGGGAAGGTAGGATTATATGCTATAAAGCTATTGAAAGTGAAAATATAAGCAGTATTTTTCCATGATTCCTTAAGGAATGTCAACATAAGTCATGCCAAATGCTTAGTACTTGGAGAAGACAGTAAACAAGTTTTTGCCTTGGTGACATGGTTAAGGAGGTGAATATCAGAATGTCACCTCCTTAAGCATTCAGAAAACGGAATGTCTGATTGTGGGAAAGGAAAATAAGAATGAAAAATTAAACTTTTAATTGAACTTGACCCTGGACCAAAACTAAGAAAAACAAATCAAGTGTTTAGGAAGACAACATGGCAACCAGACTATTGAAATTCTTTTCATTATATGCAAGATAGAAAAATTAGTCCATTTAAGAATGTAGTTGTTTGAAGTGATTAGGCAGTGTCTGGAGAGACATCCTGTGTATGAATGGTGCAGTCACTTGAATTAATGTTATCTCTACAAAATAATAAGGAGCTTCAACAAGCACAGGAAGTTTGTTGTACTTGTTGCAACCATCTGTGGGAAATACATAGCAGATAGTTAAAGTGCTGCTGAGTTATTATAAATGGCAGTTACAAAGGCACAGTGAAAATTGGATGCAAATTGGACTGGCCACCACCATAGAAAAGGAAGTGTTTGAAAGAACAATCAAACAATATATAATATACTGATCTACCCTAATTAAAAAAATAGTTGTTGTTCAAAGAATTGTACAAGAGTAAACAGTAATCAGTGGAAGAAGCTTAACAACCTTAATAACCATAACTTTAAAGTCATTCCTTCTTGACCTTTGCAGTCATGAAAAAAATAGTCTATGTGTTTGCTTCAAGGGGCTTTCATAACAATGAAAAATATATAAATTCTTGAATTTATAGGTCTCTATTGGTTTAATAAAATGGCCTGTCATATTTGAAGTAAATAAAATCAGTAAATGAACAAAATAAAATTTAAAAGTATTATCCTATATATTGTATTACTATATAATTTATTTGCCTTCTTGCAATATTAATAAATATTAAATTTAAAATTAAATGGGTGCAGAATTTGCACTGTGTAGCTTTGAAAAGGGCTTGGGGACAATAGAACTATTAAAACACACTATTATTGTTCGCTTCAGGAGCAGCATCCAACTGCCAAAATGTTGCATTTTTCTTCCTGAAGGCTCTTTTGTGATTTTAGCCACTGCCCTCACTGGATGTGTAGCATAACAACCATTCTTCATCAGGTGTCTAGGGAAGACACTCAGTTTCAAAAGATTTACTGCACATGCTGCTTACAACTGCAGCCTTTTGGGAGATTCAGAGTGTTTCTTTATGGGCTCACCTTGTGCTCACATCTCCTTTTTAGAATCCAAGATTTTTGTTATGTACTCTGTAAATTGCCTCAACTGATTTATTGTCCGCAGCTGATAACATCCTGCTGCTAGACCTCAGAAAACTCTCTTGTTCACTATGTTTCTGCTCCATGTGGCAGAGGCACACTGTTTTCCTACACTCCAAATAGAGAAAACAGACAAAACTGTGGAGGAAGAAAGCATTATCCTAATTTGTAGAACTAAAATTGCATGACCTTGACAAGAAAGTCGATAGCTCAGCCAGGAATTGATCCCAGATGTTTTGTAAAACAAAACCATCTTGATCTGTACAATGGATGAATTTACTGTAAAAATGAGTAGTAGAAAAATTCACATTCTCTAAAACAAACCTACAAATCAGTGTTGTTGAGTAGAGACACATTGTCCAAGCAACATCCAGATTCACAAGTGTTTAATAGCAGACCTGGTTTGTGCCTTGGAAAAATCTCTCTTGAATCTTTATTCTGTTCCACTTCCAAACATACCTGATTTTAGAGATCTTTCTGAAATGTTTTTCTCTTTGGAGTGCTATAGCATATTTTCTTGACTCAAGAACAGACTTATCAGATACATACATAATATTCTTTCTGATTAACACCTTCTAGGAAAGAAGTCGTCCAGTTAAAATAGAACTTTCTTTTGCTGCCACCTTGTGGTTGTTTTACTAATTTTAAGTACAGCGATTTTTAAAAATTTGTTAGAGTTAAAATAAAATTTCTCCTCTGAATACATGAAAAGGTGTTTTCTATGAAGAAGAGAACAATTGCTCATTCCAGCCTTGTTGCATCTTCAAAATACCTGCTAAATCCCATCGAGCACTGAACCCTCTCAGCAGTTGTATTTGTCCTGAAGAACATGAAATTGCATCTTGTGGTTTACAAATCTCTATGGAATATTTTCAGACATTTTTCTTCTAACATCTCTTACTTGCTTCTGTAATACCATCTTCCTCTCCCTAGCTGCTAAAATGACATCATTTTTTTACCCTAGAGCAAGTATTAGCCACAGCCTCACCTCAGAAAAACAAATGACTGTAGACTGTAGCAGTAGTTGTAAAGATTATTAATTTCCATTTTTCCCCCCTGCTCTGGTCTCATTGTGACAGCCTCCTGATTATTTTCACTTTCTTAGAAGAATTTGTATAAGGAGATTCAAAGCATTATATTTTTTATTGAGAGAAGAGGCCCTACCCCACAATACTTGCTTGTTTATTAGCACATCTGTAAATGAGCCAGTTTCTGTTTTAATCAGCCTCAGTTATCACTGTCACTAAACAAACTGATTTGGCATGTGAGGCTAATGTTCCACACCTGGCAAAGCAGCAGCACAGAGTTGATACCTGTCTCTGTGCTGCAAAGGGGTAATGTGAACCTGAACATTTTAGCCAAGTTGCTAATGGGCTTTTGGAGCTTGGTATCTCCAGTCTCAAGAAAAGCAACTGGCACCCAAGTTCTCAGGAGTTTAGGCCCTCTGAAACATTTTTCTTTTATGTTTCTTTTCAAACGCATCATCTGTCAAAACATCAGAAGGCTGTGTATTTGCATTTTATATTGTATCTGTGGGATACAGCCTTTTATCAGTTCTGGTAATGTCTTAGGTGTCTCATTCGATATTAGTAACTCCATCCTCCTGCCAATTTTGTGTCTTACGTTTAAGTTGTCACATAAAAGACCATTGCTATTTAAAATAGGCATTACCTAACAATACGTAAGAAAATCAAAGGGATCTTTTTTTCTGTAGATCTTAAAAAATAGAAAAAAAACTCTAAAGGTTTGGAATGCATGATGACACCTTTACTCAGTTCTTGCCTGTGCTATTTTGTATATTCTGCAGTAAATCACTTCCTGCAGACCTGTTTAGACGAGTAATTTCACATGTGTGAAGAGACTACTTTGTTTACCCAGCCTAAGAAAAATTTGAATTTGATATTTTGTACAAAGTCTTTGACTCCTAGTGACCTTTAATTTTCCTGCCTTGCAAAGTTGTTGTTTTGCTGAGTTTGTTTTTTGTGACGTTGTTTTTTTTCTGTACACATTTTGCAGACCTATTCCAAAACCCTCTGGCATATGATCCAGACTACCGGCTTTATGTGATATACTTCCTTCCTTCAGTCCAGCTCCTTGACAGGAAGTGTAAGGATTGCTTTCCTCTCTCACAATGCATTGACAGTTGCTTTTGGTACTAACCAGTTTGGACAAATAAGTCAAATTATCCTATCTGTTCTTTTACATGTGTTTGTTGATAGAAAAAAGAGAACTAATTTAACAAGATACCTGGCTTTTGTACGATTTGCCAAGCAAAAAGAGTTTGCATGGCATCAACACTTAGTCAAATGTTTTTATTTTTCTTTTTAAATTGTGTTGTTTTTTTCTTGTATCTTGGTCTATATGGGTAAAGCTAAAAGCTTGTGCTTAAAAATGTGTACCTACCTGTGTGCACTCAGACTGGTATATTCACATGGGTGAGTGTGCTTACTTAGGTTTGGATGATATCCTGAGCTATCTACTCATTTCTGTACAGTTTAAGTATGTATATACACATTTTTTGATAAACACAGATCAAGCTTTCAAATATAATAAATATTCACAAATTATCAAGAGATATTTCACAGCTTATCTGCTGTAAATTCTACAGAAAAAAACAAAACAAAACAAAAACTGTCTTAAGAATAGCCAGATTTTAAACCAGTAAATCTATAAACATGCCACAATGTACCCAGAAAATCGCCTTTGGTGATTTTTGTCTCTGGTGTTTGGTGAACTGTGACTGAAAACTACTGAGAGCACTGAAAAAGTAGCTGAGTCCTACCTCACTCTGTAAGAAAGTAGCAAGGAAAAACCAGCACCTTCATGAAAGGGGAACTGAGCAAGACAGGTGCTGGGAAGCTGTGCAGCTGTCCTGAAGGAAAGCTGCTGGACGGGCCCCAGCAGGTGCCAGGGCTTGATGAGGAGTTGCTGGATCTGACCATGTGCCCACTTGCTCACAGTCATTTTGCACAGGTACTCCACTCTCCTGAGCACTTGCTCTTGTGTTACACTTGTGCTTAACACATCTGTCAGGCTATTACTAAATATCACTTTTTGACTGGGGAGTGATGACTGAAGCTTAATGTGCTGAAAAATATGTGTTGCATTTACATGTCTAGAAACACTTCCATAAAACTTCCTGGACTTCATCTCCTAAATACAGTTCTACTGTAGTCAGTCCTGGATTAAGACTTGAGGCAGTAATTTGTTATCAAGCTGTATCCTGGACTTTCTATTTAGTGAACTATTTCTCTGAAAAATTACAAAGTTTCTTCACCATCTGTAGAACATTACCAGCATAGCCCTGGCTGTCTCCACACAAGACATGTGCTCATGTTCTGTTACCTTCAGGCATGACTACTGCAGTTCCTTCCTAATTGGTCCCCTAGACACCATGACTCCAAAATTTCTCTGAACTGAAAATGCTATTGCCAGTTGCTTGTTCTAAAAGTTTAGCTGACTTCTGTTCCATAGCTGAAGTACTAGATTAGTATAAGGTTCATAAAATTTAAGCTACTATCCCCGATTTGATTTAAGAGCCTCAAACTATTTGTTTAAAAATTAAAGTTATTTCTTTTAAAGTGCAAAACAGAAAAAATTTAAACTTTTGTTTTGATTTCACTCCTAGGGTTTTCTCTGTAATTGACCAATGGGAATTAAACTGGCCTTAATCCAGGACTTGTTTTTGCAATTCATAGACACTTCCAAATCGTTACTGACTTCTGCAGGAGAGCTCATTTAAGCAACACAAAAAGTCTTGCTTTCTTCGTATCTTCATTTAAAACTTCTGATCCTACGGCACTCAGAAGAAAATACTTTATTGTACAGGGATTCACCCTAAAACCTTAGGAAATACCAGTCCATGTTCCCATTTTGAATTGCCATGAAATTGTGTAATTAACATTTAAGTATTAAAAAACTGCACGGAAAATATATGAATCACCTTTTGTATGCTGCCTTTTCAACTGATAGAAATGAAGTTAATTTTTTTATATCCCTTTTTAACAGTGGTTACACAAAGAGAAAGGGAGTCAGCGCTTCACCTCTATAACCCTAAAAGGGCTTGGGTCATGCAGTCAATAGCTTTTGGGAAGAGAGCAGATACATCCCTGGGGACAACAGTGGGATCTAGCAGATGCACTCAACCAGCCAGAAGACCAATAATTCCCTCAGGTATTCATAATACTCAAAGGAAGACATACATTTTTAGATCATTTGAATTAGAAACAGTTTTTTTTCATTCATCTGATAAAACATTATTGGTTTTAGTAATTAAATATAAATGCATCAAGAACTTAGCTGGTTTGCTACATAAAGTAAGTAGTTGTAGCAGCAGCAGACAACAAATGAATCCTTCTACTGACAGTATTGTGGCAGATAAATTCTAATCACACCCTGTAGTTACAGAATTGTCCTTAAAGATAACTGGCAAATTTTTTGTCAATATGAGTCTTGTGTTTAGTTTTATTCAAAGCATTTCAAAACACTTCTGACTCTCAGTGCTCAGCATCATGGAGTTTTGATGCCCTCTAGTGCTTTTACAAAATAATCTCTTGAAAATATTGTCTTCTAGTGTTCTAAATTTCATGTATCTTGCCTGGTTTTGTAAGCAGATTCCTCTTTATGCTTTCCAAGCTGAGAATATTTAATAATGTCTTGTAACACCATATAACACAATTTTTAGAGTTCTTAAAACATTCGCATCTGGAAGACAGCACGATCCTGGCACAAGAAAGCAGGTGAATACCGCCTGGACTTATATCACAATCCAGAACCAACTTTGAAATCCCATATAATATCATCAGCTTCTTTGATGTTTTAAAAAAACCACCACTGTGCATAGGTAACTGAAATTGTAGCATTTTAAACAGTGTAGATGGAAGTTTGGAAAGTAATCAAGTACCAGCAAGTTTATTTAAATGTATATACCACAATAGTAAAACTGAACGCACTGCATTTAACAATGATTTTGAAAAGGTTGCGAAAAGGAGGATAGTTTAAGCACATTTAATAATTTATTTTGCTGATGATTATCAAGGCAGGCAGACAGCTGTCTTTATCCTGCAATCATACACGTACACAGTGACATCATTTTCTGTGAAAGAAAAAGAGCCTGGATATCTATTTCTATAGGAAATAGAACACAAGAAACTTAAAACTACATACACTTAAATCCCAGGAAATACTTCCTTCCATAGTAATTGAATAAAATAATATCTAAAACATTTCAAATCATGTGCTAATTTTTAATTAATTTGAACAAGCAATTTAGGATCACGATAGCAATCAATTCTCAGCTACTCAAATTGCTGTACAGCCATTAACGTCATAATTTGAACTTTCTGTTATAGGTCATGAATTCGGAAATAGCACAAATAAGTAAGTAATGTTTTCATTTCAGTGTCTTCTTCCTTTTGCATCTCTGAAGCATTTAAGTTCCTCTTCCCATGCCTAAAAAATACCCAAACTAGAGAAAATGTTCATAAAAATGAGCTTTTGAAACAGTTTCAGGTGTTTGTATTCAATATAGCTGCAACTCTACACTAGGTTTGTTGTCTAAAATTTAGTATTGAAAGGTATTCCACATTTGGAAATGGGTACATAAAAATGCCATTTATTTGTAAGATCAAACACTGATCACTAGAAAAAGCATGCTCAAAGTATTAGAGCATCAGAATAGCTGTTCCATATTATGTCCCAGAAAATGTTCTCCTGGCTGGCTGTTCAAAAATACACTCTCTGGAAAATATTATGACATGTAGAATGAAACTTTTTTAGTGTGTACGTGATGTTATTTTTATTCTGTTCAGTTTCAAAATCACAGAAATAAATGTAAAACTTATCTCTGTATCTCAACTGAGACAGGAGAAAGGTTGCATTTTAATGTGATGACGTTTTAGATGCAAAATTTTAAGAGTAGATTTACAAACTTAAGGTATCAGATCTGGATTTACTTTGTAGCTTTACAAACAAAAAGATTTGAAAAATGCATTAAAGAAAGTAATAAAACCTACCTCTTATAGTACTCTGAGCATAGCTCTTTAAAAATCAAGCTCATTTCTGTGGAAAAATTAATTCTTACCTGCCTTCAGTGCAGTTAGTAGTCCTCATTGATAGAATAGATGTGCAGCTGCCTCAAGTCTCATTTATGGAAATGCTGAGGCTTTGCAAGGTGCCTTTTCATGATAAAGTGCATGGTACTCAGAGGAGACAGTCCTGTGGTTTTTATGAGGTGTGTTACTACAGGGACATCTTTAAGAAATAAGGTCTTTCAAGATAAAGTTTTAATACTGTATGAGTTGGAAGGTTTTTGGGTCCTTGTCAGCGCTGCTTTGCTCTCCCAGACTGCAGCTGTGGCAGGATACATGAACACAAGCTCACAGTGATCTGGATTCAGAGCTTGAGAATGGAATCCACAGTGAAGTAAATGTGCATTTTCATGAATAGGTAATCATGAGAATGGAATCCACAGTGAAGTAAATGTGCATTTTCATGAATAGGTATCAAATCATTTGAATCATGTCCATTGAATCAGAGCATTAAAAGCATGCAATTATAACCTTTATTGGAGGACAAAAATTGAAAACAAAGGACCATTTTTAAGTCTACTATAAAAGTTTCTAAAATGATTCATAGTATGATTTTTTTGGAAATAAATTCCCATGACTCTGATCTTTTCTTATTTTGTTTTGCTTTCTTAAATTTGGTAGAACAAAACCTTCCTAAAATTTAAAATTTTTAAATCCTCCCTCTTAGTGTCATCATGACTGCCACTTTCACTGTGGACTGGAACAAAGTAGCCACTTGTCAAGAAAGGCGGCTTAAAAACAAAGCAGAGGAGCCCCCTGAGAAGCTGACAGTCCAGTTTAGATGAGAAAAAAAACAATTTCTCTCTCTAATGTTAACCCCACAAGTAGGTTAACAGCTCAAAAAAACAAGTACATAACAACATACATCTAATTAAGTTAGTATAAGATTTCTTTTATCATATGTAGTATGGAGAGTGAAGAAATTAACATATAATAAGTACTGGCAATGTTATAATAAAAGTTGCTTGAGATGCAATTCTTACCATACTTTTGTTACCTGAAAGTACTGAACTGCACACTAATTTTTATGAAACTAAGGATAAATACTTTTATTTCTTAAAATAGATTTCCTCACATATTTCTCCTTCCCTTCTGTCAAGGCTTAAAGTCAGTGATGCTTTCTAAACATATCAAAGCTTTTCTTTCAGGTTGTAGTTTGTCTTCTGAGTTCCTTGTCTCCTAAGTTAGCATAGAACCACAGGACAGTCTATGTTGGCAGGGATCTCTGGAGTTTATCTAGTCCGACCTTCCTGCTGGAAGCAGGTCAGAGATGAGGTTTTCCAGTGGCCTGTCAGGGAGAATTCAAAGATCTCCAATGAGCAGGGTACCACCACTGGGAGAATGAAAGCAGGATTGGTGCTAGGGATTTTAGCACACTTCCAAAACCCTGACTCTTTTTCCCTGAAGGGATTGCATTTTCAGAAGATCCTTGAACAACAGCAAGTTCTGTGAGCTCCCCAGTGCTATGAGTGGGAGGCAACAGCACTTCTGCATTCCCAAACCTCAGAGTGGAGGGTGACTACAGCATGACTACAGATCTGAGTTCCAGGCAGGCATCTCTTGCTTGCCAATTGTCATGAAGTTAAACTTGTACACTCAAGCTACAGGAGGCCCCTGCATGTCACATGAGAATGTGTTACAGACACAGGAAACAGAATGGCCACATAGCCCCCTTCTTTTAAAAAATTTCTCTTTATTCTTCACAAGCTACTAATCCTTGAAATTCAAACACAGGTACATTCCCTGCACAGGTGCATTTATGTATCCTCACTCTTACAGTTTTCAGAATACTAAACAAAAACTTTCAACATATTAAATAGTAAAGAAAAAATAATAGCATTTTCCCTCTGTTTTGAGGATGGTTCTTACTCCTCTAATTAGAAGAACACTGCCATGTTTAGAACACCAGTGATTCAGCTGACAATAAGACAGTCTCTGATTTTGCCATCCTTAGGCAGCAAGTGGTATTTTCAATTGTGGCATTCCTACTGATTTCATGAGACACAGAAATAAATCTGAGTGAAAAACAAAGTTGAGGGAAGCTATTTTCTAGATCTGATATTCAGCTGAAAGCCCAAGTGAAATCCCAGTTGTATCAATGCACACATGAATTTTCTCATCTAATTCACTGTGACCAGTTCAGCATGAAAAATATTAAGCATTTTTTGTTTATGAAATAATTCATAAGCAACAAACATCCCACTGTGCTCTAAGGCATCTTTACCAGAAAAAATATTTAGAATGCATTACTCTTGTCAGTCAAAATATTTTGACTCATTCAGGTCTTCCCTTCATTAGACTTTGGAATATTTCTGACCAAACCAATAGTGAAATACACATTTCACCATCAGCTTCAGACACCTGAAACAGCAGTTTCATTTACTACAATTGCCACAAAATAGACATTATTGTTGTGCTTTCACTAGTCAAAAATATTTACAGTAATGTCATGAAAAGTTGAGAGTTCAGATGAGAATCTTCAGAAACTTAATTGCTATTGAATTCCTTCAGATAAAGCTTCATAAAGTGCTGAAAAAAACACCCCAATTTAACATTTGGCCTTCTGGTGCTTTTAATTACAGGTCTATGTACTTGCAGGAAAAAAAAATTAAATTATTGTTAAAATAAATTTGGAAAACATGAATCCAAATCAAATGCTGTTCATTTTTCACTAAGTGGTTCATTAGCCACAGAAACTCCAGCTTCACTAGCCTTATTGTTGGTATACATACAGATGGATCTATGCCACTAATTTTTAGCAGATAATAAATACCTATCTTGACAATTTATAACAAAACCTGGAGTATTTATAGACAAAGTAGCCAGTATTCTATCTCTTGATGAACAGAGATGTCTTTTAAAGGAAGTCTTGCATAAACCATGCTCCAAGAACTCAGACATGGTCAGCACAAAAAATTCTTTAGTACCCTTGAGAACTCTCAGTCCCTTCCTAACCTCTTCTTACTCCTCAGAATCTTGAATTTTTTGAAGATCAATGTCATCTAAGGCAGTTTCACTTTCCAGTGGACTTTCAGGTTGTAGGGCTAATGCCTCCATCTCTTTGGTAAATTCAGGTTCTTCTGTTCCTTCAGTAGGATGATTTGGATCCATTTCTTTTGTAGGATCTGGATCGGAATCTGACTGTTGTTCACTTGTAGAACTACCCTCTACTAGTTGCATTTCATCTAAACAAAAGAGAAATCACACAATTAATAAACAATGAACTCTGCAAGCAAACATTTTTATTGTTGAAGAACAACAACACTAGGATACTTTGCATCAATTACAGAAGTGATTAATTTAGAAAATCTTAATTGAAAAAACCCAAAGCACAAAAGCTTTGCTTAAGTTGGTATAAGGTTACTCTGGAACTAACCCTATACAAAGCTCTCATTAACTTATCCTCCATTTTGCCAGACTTTTTCTTTTTTTTTTATTACAGAAAGGAGCAGAGTAGGACAATACAGTTATTTTAACTTCCAATTCAAACATGCTTTATTGACACTATTCTTATCACCAGCTTTTCAAAGCATGGCTGCATGCCAGTTAAACACCAAGTACAGGTGGGGTTTGTTTTAAATCAAAAAGGCACTGACACAACTACATAAGGAAGCATTTCTGCATGAAGCACACTGAAGAAATTATGTTCTTACAAACAATGAACTTTGGTTGAAATAAGTCATCCTAAAATTTTTAACTTGACGGCGTGAAACAGAACCAGCTATTGCACCTTTCCTCTTCAAGCAATGTTTTCTGAGAAAAGAAAGTTGTTAAAGAACTTTTTCCCCCTGATTCTACTAAGTAGGGCCTGCATGCTAGGAATTCTGAAAAGGAGGAGAAAGCCTAATTGGGAGCAGTACTCCCTAATTGGGAGCAGTAGTTAAATCTTAATTTCTTGTTCTCTGTTGTGATTGATAGCCAGCCAAAACCAGTCACAGCTAGCTAGCCACAACCCTGCCAAAGCCCTGCCAAGATCTTACGTGAGCTAACAGCCTTCAGCACAGGCTGAAGCGTGGACTTGGCTGATACTCACCCCTGTACAGTGGAAACACTGGAACTCTTGGGTTTGCTTGTAGTTGCAGCTGTCGCATTTGTTTTTTAATTATTACTTTCCTGATGTACAGGATTTGTAGGGGTATTACTAACTTTCTGAAATAAAACTGCTGTTGATATGGAATGCTCTGATACACCACCATTCACAGGGTGACCTCAGATGATTTCAGTGTGTTGCTAACAGTGCATAATCTGATAAGGTCTATAGTGTGCTGGCTGTGTACCTGAATCAGTTAATGAAGATTAAGATGTAGATAGTGGAGTTGAAACATAACAAAAAATGTTAGCTTTCCTTTTCAGGCAGGGAGGGAGAAGAGCCATCCACCTTGCCTCTCCCTCTGAAAACGACAGCATCTGGCCACTGACTCCTTCAGAAAATATGAACCTGCAAGGGTGTGTGTTTGGCACCAGTGTGAGGCATCACTGCTCACAGCTCATTAAGTTTTGTTGTACTGGTATGCAATATATCCAGGGATTTCTAATATCCTTGCTTCCAACTTCCACATTATCCTGATCCCATTCAAGAGCAGTTCTTGTAACAGGATCAACAGAGGAAACTGTTGAAAACTTCAATTATTACTGATTTATATCCTGCTATATTGAGTACAGCTGAAGTGAACATCACCATTGTAAGGCAACCATGATTTGTGCACTGCACTTCTACAATCCTTAAAACAAAGGAAGAAAAATCCAGTAAGTTGTAGAAGAGAAAAAGTGATTTCATCCCCTACTTTTCTATTATTTCACTTGAAGAAACATGGGAAGGGGCAATACAGTGTTTATTCAGTTATTATCTATTAATTACTTGTGTCTTGAAGGGAGAAAACCACCATGAGCAGTTTAAAGACCATTGCTTGATTTCCTCACATTCTAAGCACACAACACAATTAACTTGATACTGTGATTATGAAGAGAAGTATTATGGGGAGATTTAACATCTACATTAACCTTTGCAACTGGAAGGAGCAGGCTGCTTGCTTATTATCCAACTCGTCCTAACACCTCCAACGAAACATAGAGCAGCATTAAAGTCCTGCATCAGCTTGATTAAAGATCAGGATTTTGAAACAGTGCAGTGTAAATCAGAGTGCTTTCATTGTAGAAATCTGTGTAATTGCGTCATTAAAAACCGCATTTGGAAAGTAAACAGCATTTGTAAATTGAAAGGCCAGAATCCCAACAAACTCAGCTTTACTGTTAAGTTTCATCACAGATTTTTCTCCTAACCTCAGCTGTTACAGCTTTAAGACCTGTAAAATTGCTCTTTGTGATGTAGTTAACACAGCACTAGTTTCAGCAAGGCAACAACAGATCCTAACCTTTCTTTTGCTTCTTTTCTTGCTTCCTTTTCTCTTTGGCAGCTTCTAGTTCTTGTTTCTCATGAATTTCCTTCAGGATCTTGCAGACTTTTTTGTGGGTAAACCAGTGTATTTTCTGGCAGTTCTGGTCACAGTAGATCACCTGAAAGTTACCAGAGTTACCAATTCATTTTCATGTACTAAAAGAATAGACAATTTCTTTGTATTTCTTAGTGCATCAAGTTAAATGTCTATGTATAGCATTTCATGGTATTTTTAAGCAATTTGTAAGGTCATATGGAATGAGTCTAACCTATATAAGAATCTATAAAAAGCAGTTTTTTATTAACTTTGAACATACAGAAATTTTACTGTTTTTTCATTCTTAAGCATACATACTTGAATATCCAAATACTCTTTCCTACTTGTGAATTTCAGGCATCTTTTCCAGAAATAGATGGCTTGAACATATTCAGTGCAGGCATGCATGCCATTCCTCCTAAGTCTACGCAGTAAATAGGGAAGCATTCAAAAATCTTCAGCACCTCAGTGGAACTATTTTTTTTTTATTCTTACCATTTTACATACTGAGCATCTTTTGTCTGCTCCCTTTCCCCCACAAGTTGTACAGAATTCAGCATCCACAAAACCCACTTGGCCAGTAATCGCTTGTGTAAGCACAGAAAAAGCTGTGGGGTCAGAGCCCTGAAAGGTAAGAGGTGGTAATGAGATTAAAACCCAGCACTGTTGCAGAGAGGGACGTGCAACAGAAGACCAGAAATGATTAACACAAGTGTCAGTCTCACTGAAGCTGCTGCAGCAGCAAAAACATAAAACCAACAGAACTTCAGCTAACAGAACTGAAACTAACGTACACAACTTAAGATTTATCGTTATCTACGCTTTTGTATATGAAGTCAACTTAAGCCCTGAGTTTCTGCAGTATTTCCTCTGTGAGTTATTAATAAACTGCATGTTCTTTACATCTGTAGATCCTATGCAGCAGATTTTTGCAGCTCAGTCTCTGTGCTGGCACACACAAAAATATGTTTCATTTGTCACTGTTGTGCTCAGTGCATGCAGGTCCTACAGGCCAAATAGTCAGAACTTGAAATTTTCCATTATTTGCATACTACTATTTAGATGTTATTTGCAGCATCCTTCCTATGCAATGCAAGCAGTAAGGTTTAGCTAACCATATACTACAACTATTTTTTTGGGCAATGATGTAAATATTTGAAGAAAAAAACACCAAGCTGTTCTGGCTGTAAGTAATTCCTTAAACTGTTAGACTACCATGAAGTATGTACAATCATAACTATTATGACAACACTGACATGCTCAGACTGAATCCAAGTAATTGTGCAATGACAAAGGTGAAAGGCTTCAACATAAATAAAAATTATAGCATCTCCTCTTTTCCAGTTCTGCATAATGGACAGAAATTCAATGGAATAAGCCATCATTGCTTTAAAGGCAGAAAAGACTGCAGGCTCTCCTAAGAAAAAAGCAACAGGAAGGAAAATGTTTACTCTAAAGCAAGTTGTAATGCATCACAATGGCTTATGTTTTCACGCTGCGTTTATCTTCCTTTCTTAGACAAACAGAGATTTCACTAAGCCTCAGGACATTTTAGCAGACCTGGAGCCACTTAAAATGGAGGCTATTTTTAATTGGCTCTGAATAATCCAAACACGTCACAAGATTGTTCCAATTCCCCAGTGTTTGTGCGTACAACATTTCGCTCTCAGAGACCAGAGAGAACATGCTTAAAAAAGAACAGCCACTCTCGTGTAAAATTTATTATGAAGCAATAGTCCTAAAATGAAGAGTGTGTTAGCAAAGACATAAGAGCACAACTGAAGTTAGATTTTTAACTTGTAATTTTGATTTCCTAATTTAGCTATAATGCTGCACATTGCATCGTCTTGCCTCTCCCTCTCTGTCATAAAAGGAAACTCACAGAATATTTCTCCTTTTTCTACCATCATATATTACCAACTTCTTGTGTACAATAGAACAAATGAATGCATTAAATCTAGGAAATTATTCAGTCTTAAACTGAATTCACACTGTGAAAACAGCGCAAATTAAGCTTCATTTTTGTCTGAATCTAACATTTCAATAAGTGAACTGGCATAGAAAAACTGAACAGACATCCCAGAGGAGGAAAAGAAAGCTCAGACACAAGAAAAAAATGGCATCAGTTTTCTTTAAAAGCTGAGGTGTTTAAGAATTCATTATGGGCACATGACAAAATACTAGTTGAAGTATCTTAGAGCATTTTCCTACAATATGTAAAATCCAGCTCCTGAGAGCTCAGGGACATCAAAACCCTTTGCTCAATATAATACGTTGCAGAAGCTGAAGACAGAAAGATGTCTCAGTCTGGATTTGCTATGCAACTTCATGAGAAAGGATTTTCTTGACAGGAAAAACTTACTATTTCAACAGGAGCAATACTTCTCACAAGCTGCTGGAGCAATGTAGCTTCACAGTAAGGAAACTTCCGGATACTTTCTCGAATTAGCTTCTCTTGATACACAGGGAAACCATCTTTATCTCTCCCTTTCAAGAGGCTAAATTTTTTTAAATGCATGTAAAATAAGAAATCGCATAGTAAATATTCAAGAGCAAACACATACAGTTATGCTATACTCTGTCCCCTTTCAGATTATAGAGAAGAATTCATAATAATTTGGCAACTTCATATTTAAGTTTGTATGTTAAAATGAAAATGAAAGTGTTTTTATTCTAATACACAATCATTACAAAATACATAGTACGTAAGTGTATGCTCTGAAACCAGAACTTAGTAATTCAGCCACAGAGAAAAAAAAAGATCTATAGGTAAACTATCTATTATCTACATCAAGAAACACAAGTTCCACTTTATTATGTTTAATTCATGTAACTTCATAATTTATTTTCAGTCTTACAGAGGATTTAAGTAAAAATCCAGAAAGGTGTATAGGGAATGTGATCCTACAGCCAAAGCCAGGTCACTTACTTTGATACGTAAGATCAGGCAGCTGGTTTGTAACTCAGTAGATTTTGAAGATCTGACTAAGTGATTTAGGAGTCTAAGTCTCATCCAGAGTCTGAGGGATTTGCAGTTCTCACTTGCTTAAGTGTTTATGAAAAAAAAAATCTCAACCTGCATGACTGCTGGAGAGCAAAACAAGAAATGTTCCCAGATGAACCACATTGGACACTGAGAAATTATTTTTTCAAGCCTATCACTCCCCTTTTTTTCCATCACACATTCCTGTCTGATGCTTCATGGTGTATATGTAAATACCAGGTTCTAACCAGTTCCAGTAGAGCTGAAATTCTAGGAATGTTTCCTTTGTACCCAGGAAAGGACAGTGCCACTTCAGATACAGAAAAATGGGAGTCAGTGCCATCCTGAAGTAAATGCAGCTGGGATTATTTAACAAGTTATTTGTTGTAGCCTTTATCCAAGCCAACCCAATCAATTCCTTCCGTTGTCTTTTTCCTGGTATATCTAATGCCAGGGCATGCATGTGCTTTCAGATCTCTCTGAAGAAAAACTCACCTTTTGATAAACCCATCTAGTTTATCCTCTCGCTCTTTTAAAAATGTAATGCATTTCTGGAAGATGCAACTGATATAGTGCATTTTCATAGCAAGAACTTCATTCATGTCTTTCTGCTTCATGCATTTCTCACAAATGAGATCCAGAACCCTGTAACATTTCTGCAGTGCTTCTACTTCGGCCAACAGAGGGTTCTCTTTCACCAGCAACACAATCTAGGAAAAAGATTGAAGAAAATGTAATCAACTTAAGACTTGTGCATTGGAATTAAAGCTTGTATAGCTCATTGCAGCTAAATTTCAGTGGAGTTTCTAATAGTTTTCTACGTCCTTATGTAGCCTTCCCTTTCTTTTTCCAGTGATTATTTAGCATTATTATTCAGTATACTGTAATTCACAGTTCCCATGCAAGAAACCATTTAAAACTAAGACTGATATTAAAAATAGTGAGTTTGTTCGTTTGCTTTTAGAATAAGAACCTGAATAATCAAAACTACTTCTAAAGGCAGTTAAGGAAAACTACCATATACTATCTTAAAATCTCAACACTAAAATAAACATTGTATGATTTAAGCAGTTTCACAGAACACATCAGCCTCACATAATCATGGAGTACTTCTTGTAGTCTAGTAAAGCACTGAATAAAATGTTCCAAGAGGAAACTGTATGTTCTACTCACACAATTAGCTGCCACTGGTGCACTAGTGTCTCTGTGTACTGCAGATACCTGGCTGAAAACTGTTAACAAACTCTGGACTTTGATTGGCAAGCCCAAGGAATTTGTATTTGAATTAAGGTGTATTAATTTCTCTGAACTACACTGGAGGAGCAAACCATAAAAGATATTATTGTCAGCAATATCCTGGGAAGTAAAATAAACATTCTCTTGCACATACTTTCAGAAACAGCAGCAGTGGTAGATGTTACTGTGGTGAACCAGTCATGAAGGTGAGAAGCTACATGCTGAGAAAAGCATTGAGAGAACAATGAGATTTTGTTAAGACAGGAAATTGTTCTGTTTCAAATTCAAGTGGGGCTGAGAAATAAAGGCAAAAAAGACAGCTATTTATGGTAATAAGAAGTAAGAATCTCTCCACTTGAAGGCATTGGTTGAAGATTCTGGTGCATACAAACACTGAAATAATTTTTTTATCACATCTAAATGTTGAGCCTGATTCTTCCTCATTTTCAGAAGTAGCTGAATTAGCAGATAATGCTTTGATCTCATTTGAACATGCAGAAGAGCCAAATGCTTTCTGACACAAAGAAACAGCTCCCACACCAACAAACACATACAATTTACATATTACTCCACCTTAACAGGATGCATGTTGGTAGTAGTAATAATTTTATGCAGAGGCCCAGCTAATTTTACTGGAAGTTTTGGTTCTTTGTCTAAGCCTTGTGGTTTAGTATAGTAGTCCAGCCTTTCACGTGGAAAGAAGTTGTTGATGACAGTCACACAGTCATGTTGACCTAAAGGCACACAAGAAAAAAATTACCAGTGAAACAATAACCAAAAAAAAACCTAAACCCAAATCTAATACAAGTAATACAAGTGAGAATTACCCACATGCAAAGGAGCTTTGTATGATATATTCTGCACTGCAAAGAGGCAACTCTTGTCATTCTCTTGTGTGTAGCTTTAATCTTCAGTAAGTGTTATTAACTTACTGACTCCCAGCAGGGAATACCCTCATGAAAATTCATTTTGAATATCCTGTCCCCTTCCTGTATCCTCTCTCCCTGGTAAGGCACAACTAAGAGAATTGTTGTTTCTCCCCCAAATTATACTATACTAGTAGTCTTATAGTGGTGTTATTCTCAAGATAAGAACTTTTAAAATTTATGACATTTGCATTGAGACTTTTAAGTTTTCAGACTGAAGCAGGTATTACTGTATAAACCTAAGGTGGGAGAAGTTATAAAAACAGAACATGCTTAAAGTTTAACAAAAATTAATGGACTGTAATGAAAATAACAAGATGAGAAAAGTTACACCCTCTTCTTGTTTTCTACATCTGACAATACAATGGATTACTTGACTAAAGGGAAAGTAAAACTTATCTTTTCCAGGTCAGGACCACATTCTTTAAATTGATTGATATGTCTTGGCACTAATCCTCTAAGCAGTAGAAGACACAGCCAACCAAATTCCAGCATTTAAAATCCTCCACTGTTATAGAAGAGACAGTTCTGAGCTAATAGAGCACAGTGTAAGACAAATGACAGGGGAAGAAGTATCCTCACTTCCCACACACAGGCAGATGAATTAATGTTCATTGGACAAAGAATAAAAAGGAACAGGAATAGATTCCAATGTGCAGACTCTTACAGAGTAGTGTATCTCAGTATGCCTGAAAATATTTATGCTACCTTGGTGATGTGATGAGATTTTAAACAAGAATTCTCAAAAATTATGTTGGAGATAATATTCTCCATTCACTCCATACAACATCACTTTGGAAAAGACTCTTCATATCCAAAGGATAATTAATAGGAGTAGAAATTATCTGATACGTTAGTGAATAGTTAAGGTTTTGCTGCTCGAACCTCAAGTGAGCAATGTCAACCTTCTTTGAAATAGCAGAATGAGATAAAATGGAAACTGAAACTTAGCACTAAATTCCTATTCAAGGAAGTGAATCTAAATGGCAAGGTAGGCTTGAATTCAGAACACCAAAGGGACTTGAAAGGGAATCCTCAGTCATTTAAACACCATGAGAGGGCTGTGCTTGAAAGAAAATACAGGTCCTAATTTTTGGTTTTTGGGAAGCAATAGCTGTGCCATTGAAAAATACTCCATTTAACCTCATAATATTTTTTCTCCTTGCTAGAGAAAAAGTGGAACATTAAGCCAGGAACCTAGTAATGTCAAGGAGGGTAAAAAATTTTAAAAGGGCTTATAAAAACAAACAAACCACCCCACCCCCCCANAAAAACTTGTTGCATGTTTTGCCAGGGATAATTCCACATGCTGGAATGAAGAATCTTTCTCTCATTCTAGTGAAGCTCAGGTCAGTAAGGAGTGACTATCTCAGGAGAGGCTCCAAGACTTCTCCCTCTCCCAGAAGCAGGGGAGAAGGGCAGGAGGTGGCTCGCTGCCAGCACACAGCTGCAAAGCTCAGCTGAGTTCCTGACTCCTGGCACTATGGTCATCCTTTCCCACAAGAGAAGCTCCAATTAGCACTTGGTGCTGCACTTCAGACCCCTCCAATGTAACCAGCTTCCTCTTACTATTTCCAAAGTGGTGACACTGCAAAAACTTACACACTTGAACAGTAGCACCTGCTCTCACAGGTAATATCATCTCTGTTTTCAGGAAATCAAACAAGGGAATAGAACACAAATCGACTCTTACATGATGAGGTGTGGAAAACAAAGCTCAACAACATGTCAGTTCAGAACAAGTTATTAAATAATGTTTCTCCAACAAAAAACATCAGAATCTAACACTTTACTTCTTTAGGAGTTTAGGAAAGGATAGTAATTTTCATCTTACCCACAAAAGCAGCCATCTGAGCTGCTGTCCTTCCCACAGAGTTGACAACATCAGTTTCTGCTCCAGCCTCTAACATCATCCAGGTGATTTCTTTATTTCCTGAATTTGCAGGAAAGATATGGGGAATGAGCAAGGACAAATAAGAACTTGTAATTCTCTGTGCTTCAGAAAAAGATGTACTGAATTTCTTAAAGGCCAGGAACAACACTGAGGAAAATGAATGTTCTTAATGCTGTTACTTTAAGCAGGGATTAAGAGAAAGGCATGTGCTTATTTAGAGTTCCAGCAGGTGTAACTCTGCTCTCTAATGCACATTTAGCATCCCATGGAGCTTATAGGAGTCATACTCATGTAGCTACACTTGAGCATGGTCCCTCTGGAAAGCAGTATAGAGAGAAATTCTACTAACCTAATTTAACAGTTCAACTACATTTGCTATTCTAAGAAGAAAAACACATTCAGGACTATGCTGTAGCAGGAACACAGTGAACAGAACAGATTGTTCCTTTTTCCACAGTAGGAATTGGGTGTTCAGACTGGGCTAAATACCAAGTAAAATGAAGCTAAAATTTGATGGGAAGATTAGATGACTTAATTGGTGCCCTTCAGAGACTAAAAAAGGACATTTGTCACCACTTCTGCTGGTTCTGCATCAAAGGTATTCTTAGTTTATAAGTTTTTGTGCAGATGCTAAGTACAGAAAAGTGAATATAAAAAGCAGATGGTGGATGAAAATCAATGTCTAAAAACAAAGTCATTGCGTCAGTAGTGCTCACATACCTTTTGTGCTCACAGATAACAGACCCTACAGTCAACGCTCAGAAGCTTTCACACCCAGGATGACAGGGTAAAAGCTCAGCTGTGAGAAAATGGTAAAAATCCAGCATTTCCCATAAAGCTGCAGTCATTTAACAGCCTCCAAGAGTTTGTTCTCATCTATCTGCTGCAGCTGTGATATTGCTCAATACCACAAAACACTGGAATTTCCCAAATCTTTTACCAAAAAGATTGTAGCTGAAAAACAATCTGATTATCTAGTTAAGGTTCATATACACACTTAAGCCTTTTTTTTGTACTTATGATGAAAGAAAGCAGTTTAAATGCTACCTGCTAAGAAACTTGACTCCCCTAAAATCTCATTTTTGGGAAGATATAAGTGGCCTAGTAAAAAGATACTTAAAATAACCTAATATTCCCAAATTGAATCTTTTCTCCAGAAATGCAGTGTCTTTTTCTCACCCAAGGAAATTACTGTTCCTGCCACCAGGGACAAAGACTAGCAAGAGGAAAGCTGCAAACCACCACTTGAGACAGGAGAAGATATATACAGCTATAAGAACTCTCATAAAAAAAATAATGTAAGAGGAGAGTGAAAATTATTGTGGGAAAACATGTTTATAAAACTCACTAAATACATTTTTAAAAGCCCACATGATAGTTGGAAAAATAATGTAGGATAAAGACAGAATTTCAAAAATACTAGATTGAGAAGTCTCAAATACTACCAAAAGCTACTGGTGCAGCATCATTTTCAGTGTAACACAGTTTAAGTAAACAGAATGTATCCCACTGCACAAGAAAACTATCCCAGGAAAGTTAATACTGAGATCTCTAACAAACAGGACAAGTAGACTGCATGCCTCAAAATGCTGAACAAAATCAATTTTTATATGAGCCTGAACGGAGGCTCTCCTGTTGCACTGCCCACAGGATTCTACTGGTCATGATGTAGTTACATGGTTCACATAAATAACAGCAAACCTGAATAATAAAAGCATGTCAACACTTACTTTTAAATTATTAACTTATGGCAAAATGTACCCATTGATGTCATAAAAATCAGTGATCTGAGTTTAGTAAGAAGTTACCTGAAAGTCCAGCAAACATCAAGGCAGTGTATCCATGCTCATGTTCATTGCAGTTTACATCAGCTCCGTGTCTCAAGAGCAATCTGCACATGTCCACCTTCCCCTTGTAAGCTGCGTGCATCAGAGGGGTCATGCCATGCTGGCAAAAGAAAGAAGAAACAAGTAGCATACAAAAAAGAATGCTACATCTCTTGATCTTCATACCACTGATCATTTTTACTTGGCCATACATATTCAATATAACTACCAAAGCCTCACATAGTATTTTATTTACAAAAAACCTCACAAAATCTTCATGAAAAAATATGGTTACTAACATGCAGCAGATTTCCCTGTTAGTTTTCTGATTATGTTGTTCTATAGATTTGAAAACAGAGCAGTGTTGAACAAATGAAAACCATTTACAGTCAATCATTGCCCTTTTTATAAGACATTAGTGTTGAAGAACAACTAAGATTTTTGCTAGCTGGAAAAGCATGAATTAGAAAATTTTTTAGCTTTCTATGTTATTCTTTTCTCCCCGGCTGTATGTTATATGATAAACAGCAAAAAAAATTAGAAATGGGCTGTTGTTGTTTTAAACATTATGAAGATTTGCAGTCTCTGAAACCCATCTTGCTCATTTTTACTCATGATTATTGATAATTTTGCCATCTACCTCTCTTCCCACTTCTCCACCCTTTTGGCATTATATTCATGATCAGCCAGAGCTCTGAAAGCCCTCTTAAAGACATACAGCTCTCATCAGACTTTAACAAACTGGCTGGTTTCATCAACTGCCCCAGTACAAAAGGATTTGCTTCAGCATGGGAGGACTGAGGTGTGATTATAAATGTAAAGCTGGGCAAACCCCAGAGGAAATTCTCAGAACTAGGGTGAACTGCTAGTGCAGGCTCTCTCCCTCTTCAAGGACAGGAAGAAGCATGCTGCTGCTTGATAAAATTGCATGACACTCCATTTTCAGAATACAGTATGTATGCTTTTTCCAATATGCTGTTTATTTTCAGTTAACATCAGGTCAGGATTCACATTATCAGCCAAGACACTGTAATTGACCAAGAACATGCTCCAACACTGCATACTAGGGAGAATGCTTCAGTTTGTCCTTGAAGAAAATCGAAACGGCATTCTGTTCCTTTCTTTGCCAGACAAGGCTGTGTGCTTGAGTACATTCATGTACACCATTACTACAGCTCTGTAAATGTCTAGTAATGTGATACTCTGAAATAATGTAATTGTCAGTTTGAGCCTTAACATATTTCTTGTTTCAGTTCATGACTGAGTGAAACCCAGTTAAAAAGTATAAAAAGTATAATTTACCAGCATAATTTTCAAAAAATTTCTACAGGTGAGGGAAATTGGAAAAGTTAAAAGTATAATAATTTTAAGGTATTACAGTTTCATTGCTCTCCATCCTAACTGAAAATAATAAAAAGTGCTTACTTGATGCATTATATTCCAGTAATCCACATATTTTGGTAAACAACAATATAAACTGCCACTGAAGAAACAAAATACCTAAAGAGATCACGTCATGAATATGAAACAGACTTCTTTTGCTAGATTTCATTTGAGACGTCACAAATGTTGAGTAAAGACTTTCTGTCCTACTATGTAGAATATATTTTATTATATTACATTTCATAATGTTACATCAAAAGCTATTTTACAGGCCAATCCCAGTCTGGAGTCATAGTACAGATTTGTCTCCTTTAGCAGCACAGAAAGGTATTGCAGTAATGTAATATAAACACAGCACCGGAGGAAAGATGAGAGAAACAATTTTTAGAAAACAATGACTTTTAAGTTTGGTTGAAAGCCAGTTGTTCCAATTAAGATCTGAAGATTATATGACAAAGTAAAGAATTTGGTTTGTTTTATCCTCTCCTCCCAGAAAACTGTTTTTAAAATCCTTTGATTAAATTTTGGAAGTGTCAGGCTGTGTTGTGGATCAAAAAAACATATCAGGCAGAAAATATGTGCACAGTTGATATAAAATTTGATTTAAAGTCACATTAATATCAGTTTTTCACATTCACAGGAAACAAAAGAGGGTCAGGCTAGATACAAGTTTATCTGGAAATGGTTGGTATCCTCTATTATGTCTCTACAGTGAAGCTGGCTTGACTGCAAATACTTTTCTCAGCCTGAATGTCAAAGACAGGTCCAGCAACAGTCTGTTTTGTCACAGATGATGTTTGGACTGTCAATACAACGTACTTAAAAGACAAAACTTGCAGATGGTTTATTAAGCATACAAATGAAACAAAGTTTTGTTCCACCACTAAACATAAGAAGAAGGATCCATTTCCTAGCTGTTACAATGCAACATTCTACTTACCAAAAAAAATTGAGCTTTTTAACCTTGTTCCCCAGGACAAAAATTAATTCTTCCCAGTTTTCTTTTTTTGCAGGTATGTGACATTGTAACATCTCTTCTGCAGGGCTGTAAGTATTCCCTCTATGTCTCACCATACAAGAAGAATAGAGTTTGCAGTGCCTTTAAAAATTACCTGCCACTTCTGGGTTCACTGGGTTCTCCAGCTCACCAAACAACAAGGTCTCACTGGCACAACAGGGCTCTTGGCACAGCCAATCCAGCCATTACAGACCATCCTTCCCACTTCCTCATGTGAAAATAACCCAAAAAGCAGACTGAGGAATGGGATTCCAAGAACTGCTGCCATGGTGGGGAAGTCAAGTGATGAACAAAAACCCCAAACAATGAACTTTGGGGTCAGTAGAGGGGCAGGCAGATGAGTACCAAAACCAGGGAGGGGCTGGACTCCACCACCAGACACAGAGGAAGAAGAAAGCAGGTCAATCTCTCTTCAGCATCCAGCTGAGGTGTGTTGCTAAAGGACACAAAATGATTCACACGAACACCTTTCAGCATTAGAACAGGACAGAACTAACTTTTATTCTCTGACTCCAGTATTTATAGATTCTCAACAATGATGGGATTGGATAATTAAGTTACCAACTTCCCAATCGCACTGGTCATGCGAAACGTCCATCAAAAGACGTTTCTTAGAAGGAATGTGATAAACAACTTATGTTTATAGAACTTTCACGGGAAAGTAACAAAAACTATGCAAACATTATCAGAAGGCTTCAGTTTTCAGGGTGACAGAGGTGTGCTTCAACGGGATGAATAAAAACAAGTTTATAAAGTAATAAACTGGGAAAGCAACCTTCTGCCTCCTAAGAACTACAAAGGAAGTTTCCAACAAAACTCCTGCTCAACCTACATCAAGCAGAGGAATGGGGAAACACAGGTCAGCAAAGGAACATGAAGTAGGACAAACAAAAAATACACAAACTACCTCCCACTCCAGTGACATGCATATCTGTCAAAAAACTTCTCCATTTTGTGAACATTTAAGCATTCATGCTGACTGTGTAGGAACAGAGACATCCTGTGTGTATTGTTTTGTGGATAACATGGTAAAAATTTACCACTGAAATAGCCACATAAACCTGTGTTACTCAAAGGAAAAGCACAATCCAATTGCTCCCAACATTCCCACACTCACTTCATCCTTCTCTACCATGGAACCTTGTCAAGATGTGGCATACAGGTTGGATCACACTGGAGCAGTCCCTCAGCAGCTATTGGGGTACACTACTGCACATGTGATTACCAGCTATTTAAATAGAGCAGGAAAAGTAAGAAAAAAGAGGGAAAGGGCTGTCAAAACCCTAACTGAAAAACTGCTGTAGATACTTGCATGCCAGCAATATTAACACATTCACCTCTCCCTTTCCCAGCTCATTTTCCAACGAGGAACCCAGCCCCACATTAACACAGAGTGTCTTATTTTACTCTTTAGATTCAGAAAATAGTTCAAATTATAAACAAAACACATAACTCTAGGTTTGGCTTTTACTTGAGACAGTATTTTGTACATTACTAGAAATGACGTAAAAAGAACAGGTGCTACAAGGCAGAAACACTTGATGATGTATATCTTCAAAATCAACTCTCTGGTACTGAATGCTGCTAATCTAGAAATGCAACTTGACTCTTCACTCAATAAAAGCCTTTAGAAATTTCACCCTTCAAACTGCTGAATAAGATTTCCATTACACATATTCAACTCCCTAAAGGCAGGATTTGGAAGGAGGTCAACAGTTACATGCACAAATAATTTTAGCAGTAACTAAGTATGGACTAATTAGAATATGAAATACTGTTCAATAAGTGTCGATCACAGCTATAGCTCTCCTTTATAGTCATCCTGCTCAGCTGTTGGTTTCACATATATAACACATTAGATTCCTCCAATGATCTTTCAGTTCATCTGTAGTGGTGAAAAGTTAAAGCCTATATCAATCAGCAACCTGAACTGAAACCAGATAATTCTTACTAGCAGTGGAATTTTCTTTGGTTTATGTATTTTGAAGTACTATGTAAAAAAACATTAAGAGACAAACCTCCTCCTCAAAGACCAAGGATCTGGGCCTTTTCTGCTAGCATAAGATGTTCACATTAGAATAGCAAAATAGATTACCTGAAGAACCCTCAATTAAACATACTCAGTATTAAGCTACATATCTCAGCCATGAATAATCAGGCTGCTGCTGTAATTCCTAGGAAGTGTTTAGTTCTGTGGCAAAGAGAAGGGGACTGTTCCTAAGTGATGCATTATTGAACAGCTGAATTAGAGGAAGAAAGTAATGCTGACAATGCCAGATGATAGTTCTCTATGTAAGAAGATTATGAACAACTTTACAGTTATCTTAAATAGAGAAAAATTATTAACTTTTCAGGTCAAGTCTGTTGGTTTGATCTCCAGCAAATAGAAGATGTAGTACCACAGTCCTCCTTTGCAACCTTAACTACCAACACAACCAGAGGAAACGCTCAGAGCTGGAAAGCCCGTGTGCTTCCTTGAGCCTGCCTTTCTATAACAATCTGAAATGTTTTAGCCACATGATGCAGATGGAGTTCAAGTCAGCAAAGTGCTGACAAAAAGTCAAAATATTTACAAGCTCAGCACTCTCACGGGAAAAAAAAGTCCTGAAAACTTTCTCTCATACTAAATTTCCAAATTAGCAACCAATCCATTTAAAATGGGACAAAAAATGACTAATTAGTGTGCATTTAAGTTAAATATATTTGTGTTTATTTTACATACATTTCTACAGCCCATCAGGACACCCGAACTTAAATGTCCCTGATGTTTTAAAGTTGCCAAACTGTTAAAGACCAGTTTTGCAGAAAAGCTATTGAATTTCTTTGTTTTCAGAAAGACAGTGATTAAGCCTAAATAACCTTCATTTCTTCATCTACCCAAATCCACAAAGAAACAACAACACAATTTATTTGGTCAGAAAGGGTGCTAAAAAAAAAAACAGGACTGTATCTGCTGGATATCTCTAATCTTCTGGAAGATGGGCATCTGGAAAACTCATTTGAGTGAAGGGATCTTACTCTGTGCTGACACTCCCAGCAGAGCTTACCAGACAGCAGGAGGTGAAGGATGTGAGGGAGTCTTAGAACAAGGGCAGGAAAAGCAAGCAAACTTAGAGGAGTAATTTTTTATTTTTAAATACATGTACCAACAGCAGAAGCAATGCTGAAATACTGCATCCAGCTCATATGTATGTTTTCAAAGTAAGAAGCTGAAAAAACTGGAAAGGATTTGAAAAAGAGCCACTGTTATAGCTCACTTGCTGCAGAAACATAACTTTAGGCAAGCTATTTAAAAGATGCAGCCAGATACACTACATCTGGAAGATGTTGACTTGGTCCTTGTTTAAAGGTACATAGAGAAAAGACAGCTGACTGTTAGTTTTAAATCTACAAGAAAGCAGACCCAAGCAGTTAGAATTTATGGTAAAACCAAAAATGAAAAGAACAGATTATTTGTGGGGTTTTTTTGTAAATTAGGAAGTGTACTATATAACAGCCTGCTTCTGGATGCTGTGAAAAAGCCTGAAATTATTAAACTGTGGTTCCATGCTTGCTGTACCACAGCTAGAAGACAATTACATTAAACCTGTGCTCATTCTGTGGAGTCTCACACGTAAAAAAGTCTTTAAGGATGGAAAGGAGTTCCTAACTGAATTGAGTTCACACTTCAATACCTAAGCATTCCATCTTCAGGGCTTCCTTACTTCTTAACATTAATTAAATAAGTAGCAGTAGTAATATAAATGTGAATTTCAGGATAACAACTAAGGCAACAGAGAAAAAAAATAACACCTGATGCACTGAGAGCAGTCACCAGTTGTGGAAACAATGAGTAACAGATGAAGCTGATGTTTAACTGGGATTTCACACACTCTTACTTATGTATAGATATTGGAGGAAAAATGGGTAATAAAAGAAAAATTGTAAAGCTGACATGGCTGATGGATTAAAGAAATCCATATGTGAAATATGTGAACCCTCACCTGTTTAATATGCATGATTACACACCATTCTTGGGGATAAAACCGAGTCTGCAAGAAGTCCATTGCATAAACTTTTAAAGTTTTACGTGTGTTATGTGCCTTTAGTCAGACGTGAGCCTTAGGCAAATACTGTTAATACTATTTCTTCTACATCAATAGCCTGAGGCATAACTTGGATATGGTTTCTCTGAATAAGCCATATCCTCTCAACACTAATCCTGGATGATACTGCAGCAAGGCTACCATCATTGTCAGCAAGTCAGCATGACAAGTCAGCATGACTTCAGCAATTACACTTAAGGAAAACCTTTTGATGTCCATACAATAAAGCACACTTGCAAGCATACTTATATTGTGTCTTGGGTTCCTAAAGTTCACTGTAAAACTCAGTTTGACTAGTTTTACTGAAACTTGTTGAAATTAATACAATATAAATTCAGGTTTAGTATTTAACTTAAGAACAATCAGAAAATGGATCTGGTGGCAGAAAAAAAGGCTAACAATATTCCATGAAGATATCTGATAGAAGAAGAGGCAATTTTTCTCCATTCAGCATTCATGAGACCACATCTACAATATACCCTGTCCCATTTTGAGCCTTCCAATGCAACAAAGACATGGATAAACTGCAACAAAATCAATGGAGTACCACCACGACACGGTAGGAACCTGAGCACTTGTGCAGTGAAGAGAGGCTGCAGGAGCTGGGCTTGCTCAGCCTGGAGGAGAAATGGCTTTGGTGGGACCCAACAGCAGCCTGCCAGAGCTGAGAGATCATTGAGAAGACAAACTCTTCACTTCTTGTGGTAGAAGGATAAGAGACGCTGAGTCTAATCTGAGGTTCAGACATAAATGAAATACTTTTTCAACAAAATCACAGTGAAAGAGTAGAACAAGTTGCCCAGAAATATTGTACAGTCTCCATCTTTAGAGATTTACAAGGCCAAACAGGTCGAAACTCAGAACAATCTCATCTGACCCGGGAGCTGAAGCTGCTTTGAGCTAGAGGCCAAACTAGACACATTCCCAGTATTTCCCAGTGATTCTTGTGAAATTATAAAGCTATGAAAAAACCCACAAATTAACATTTTAAATCGATAAATTACACATGGATTTAACACGAATGATAGGGAATTAGTTTTGCTTGCACATTACATTTCATATTAATGTTGCATGCTTTAGAAAAACATTGTAAAAAGAAAAAGAAGAGGAAACATACACATCACAAAGTTCCTTTCTCCACAAACTTATTTCCATCTTCAGGTAGCACTTCAGGATTTAATCTACATGTTTACCACACCCACCTGTATAAAAGGCTGTGGTTCCATTTCTGATCGAGCTACTCACCCTCCAAGTATGTTTATGGTTTGGCAAAGACAGGGCTTTGGGCAATGAGACCCAAGCATGGGATGGGGACAGGTACTGTGTCTGCCACAGAGTGACTAAGTACAGGGACTACTGCTTGTGAAGGTGACAAGAAGTCAGGGAGCACCCCCACATAATTTGCTGCAGTGTTTATCTTACCTTACAGACAAAGCTCATGCTGGAACTTAAGACAAAATACAGTGTAGTACTTTAAGTAACATTAGTCTTTGAACTTTCTTAAAAAACCACTAAGAACTCTTCAAAGGTTCATTATTCAGCTACAGGCTGGAAATATCTTGAGACTAACTCTGATTCTCAGGGCTATAGCAATGGCTGTTAGAGAAATGTTATTTAACAGCAAGATCTTCAGACCTAGCATTTTCCTTATTAAACTCAGCATAATGCTTGCAGTTTTGCAGTACCTCATCCAGGCAATTGACACGGACATTCTTGCTCCCCAGTAGCCTTCCAGCCTCCTCGGTGTTTCCTTTGATTAAAAATAAAAAGACACAGAGAGAAAAGGGGGTGAGAATAATAATAATAATAAACTGAGAATCTGGAGGAAAATGGTCATTTCCATTTCTCATTAGAATCAAAATCTTTGTATGTTAATTGCCTGGGATGTAGATTAACCACCAATAAATTAATTACACTTAGTGAAGAAGCTTAGGAACGAACAGCATTATGTTCTAGAAACTAAAAGCCAAGAACTCACAACATCAAAGAACAGTTGGAAATCATGACTACAAGTAAACATCCATTTTTTGTGAATAACTGACCTACACACACAAGAATGGGACACTCACATGTCTCATCATAAACACTGCATGAACAGCTCCAAATGAGTGTAATGATACTGAGCATTTCAACACATTTTGTACTTTCATCTCTTTTGGAGCATCATTAGTCTTAAAGAGCTGACTATATTCTCAAAAAAGGAAATTACCCCACTTCAAAGACTTTTTGGGTTGAATGAAGCATGCTTTATCATTTACTCACATCATTTTTCCTGTTTCAATTTGAAATTTGCAATATATGGCATTCACAGGGGTGGAATGAATTTGCTTTTGGTAACAGAGAATAGAGACAGAAAGGACAAAGACCCAGGTAGCTTGATCATTGACATTTCTAAAAATTGCCAAACACATAAGTAGACTGAAGTCTGAAAAACTAATGAGCCAGGAAATACAGGCTACATCTGGTTTTCAATTCTATTGTCCTACTATTTTTCGATTCCTTATCAAAATCTTTTTGGCTAAGCCACAGGTCTAAGAACCTGATTTAAAACCCACTGGAGGACTATTCAGATATTGCCAGTGCAGCTTCTACAGGCAGATATAGAAATAAAAGAACATTCTAAGAGTCTGAGTTTGGAGAATACTTATTGCAAATTAACAGAAACTTCTAATTTCTGATTCAATCATAAGCAAAGCTCTTTCAGCATGTGCTTCTTAAAAATAAGCACTGCATCCCTTATTTTAATGATTTCCATGTTTATCTTCACCCTTTCAGAAGGAGATGGTCATCCAGCAATTTTTCAGCAAAACAGATTTTGCATCTTCAATTTTGGCTAAAAATCTCATTAAAATACTAAAGCAAATTTCTTTTCATAAGGCTTTTTGATGTGGTTTAACTAGACTACAGAGGCTTTTATCATTTTTCTTTTAATTCACTAATTTAAGGAAAAAAGACCATCACCCGAGTCATCTCACACACTTGATAAAGACCCCTGACTGACAGTCAGGGAACCATCAACTAACTTATTCCCCCAGACATACATATATTCTAAACATGTTAGAAGCATCTTAAGAACTAGATCAGTTTTCAGAAGAATATCCCAGCCAAAGAAAACACATCAGTAAGAGAAAGTCTTCAAGAGGTGATCTTCAAGCAAATTTTAATACAAGCAAAACAAAGTTGCATTTACAAACTCGGAGTTCTGTATGACAAAACATTGAAGGATTTTCAAACAAGACACTAAACTATGGAAGTCAGACTTGTAGAATTGGGCAGATCTAAAAGTTGGAGCCAGGCTCCTCATAGCAGTGGCATGGTAGGAAGCAAAGAGGTAACAGGCAGAAGCTGAAATAAAAGGAAGCTTCAGACTGGATACAAGGAAAAACATCTTCACTATGAAATTAGTAAGGCAAAGAGGTTGCCCAGAGACACTGTGCAGCCTTCCTCCTTGCAAGTTTTCAAGACCTGACAGGATAAAGCCCTGAGAAATCACATCTACCTCACAGCGGATGTGTTTGGAGCAGGAGGTTGGCCTAGAGACCTCCTGAGGCCTCTTCCAACCTGAATTATCCCATGACCCTGATCAGAAGCATCAGGTAAGTTGGACAGAGGTGTCTGCAAGACCAAGGTCTGAAACTCTTATTATTAAAGTGAGTTAGTCAAACTGGTTGTGGTCCACAATAAATTCACTGCTGACTGTCCTACGCTTGTATCTCTGACACAGAGGAACATTTTAATACAACTGAGAGTGAAGCACCAAAACGTTCAAATTGCCTGGAAACTACATATAGAAATGCAAACACAAAGTGGTTTTAGTTTGCCTCCAACAAATGAATGTTACTCATGATTTTCAAAATACCAGTTGGAGGGTAACTATTTAGTCTGGATTACAAAATTCATGTTGCTGGACCAAGAAACCCAAATGACAGAAAGTTCCTCTGGCAACAAGCATGTCTGCCAGACAGTGCAATGAAAATGTGACACTCACACGAAATGCAAAATCACAGAATGGGTCAGGTTAGAAGGAACCACCACAGTAGTCTGGTTATCTGGTCCAACCTCGTTGTTCAAGCAGGCTCATCCTGGAGCACATGGCACAGAATTGTACCCAGACAGTTCTTGAGTATCGCCAGTGAGGGAGACTCCACAACTTTTCTGGTTAATCTGTTCCAGTGCGTGGTCAACTGCACAGTAAACAAGTCCCTCCTCTTATTCAGGTGGAATTTTCTGTGTATCAGTTTCTGCCCACTGCCTCATGCCCTGTTGCTTGGCATCACCGGGAAGAGCCTGGCTTCATCATCTTGACACCCTTTCGTCAGACAGACATTGATCCCCTCTCCTCTCTCTTAAGAGGACAGTATGACAGTATAATGGATAGTAAAATAGAACATTATACGGGATAAAAGGTGCATAACACCCCAAAAAAGCTCAAGTTCTGGAAACGTGAGAATAACGTGTCTGCCAAGACGTCTTGGTCCGGCAACCGCACATGGGGAAAGCCTTACAGCACGCGGGGAAAGCTAGAAGCTTTCAAGATTGGATTAACCCCAAGAAAACTTTTTTTTTCCGGCAGTGGACATGAACACCAACAATTAGGCAAATGTCAACACGCATTGCTAATAAGATGCAAGCTTTCCTTGGCAGAGTTGGACCCGTCCAGTCAAGGTTCCCCAGCCCGACTGCACCACAACGCGCCCCCCACTGCACTCCCTGGCTGACGCGGGCCTGCCCGAGAGGGCAATAAACCATGGGAACATGGCAGGGAGAAGGGTGACGGCGCCAAGGCGGGGCGAGAAGGCCGGCGGCCCTCAGCGCCGTGACCTGAGGAGCGCGGCCGGGGGCGCGGGGAGCCCG